GTGTAGAAGGTTCAATCCTCCACCGTTCACTCTCTCACACACGCCTACACACACATTCACACACACACTCACACACGGTGGGTGTTCACTCTGCTAGAAGACAGTGGGATGTCATTAACACTGTGTGAGGGGCCTTTAATGTAATTAACAGAGAGGAGAGGAGAGAAGGGAGGTGGCACCCACGAGGTCGAGCAAATCAACTCGCACCCCTTCCGCAACAGTCGAACACACACAAGCCCACTTCCTCCCCGCTTTAAACCCCTGTTGAGAAAGCTGTAGTTTAATTAAAAATCCCCGTTCCGACAAACACTCAGAGGCGCTCACTGTACAGAAACACCACTTCAGTTTTCATGCACCGCAGTCAGAACATGTGGACTTGATTAGTATTAATCCTTATCTCAGAAATGGACAGCTTCTCAATTGTGTTTTTTTTTTTCCTCTGCTAGCTAATTTCATGAAGAGCATAATTACAGCATTTTCAATTTCGTCCCTCTGCAGAGTTATGAGGCTCGTGCTCTATCTCTGCACTGCAGCTGAGAGGGGCCGGGGTGTGTGCTTGTGGGTGTGTTGATTGCATTTTTTTTTTTTTTTGAGGGTGGGGGCTGAAGTAAGCAGGAGAATTAGTAGGTTGCAGAGGTGACTAATACACCAGATAATTTGATCCCACGTCAGAATTGGAAAAGCAGCTGAAATCATGACAACTGTGTAAACCTCATAAAACACAGCAACTCTTCTGCAAACAGGGCCGGTTTACTAACAGCGACGAGGGGAAATATTAAGTGAATGCAAACATTTCAGTGCCAGCGAAATGATTCCTCTTCCAGAATGTGCTCGGTAGCAGTATGAGATCCAGAAATCTGATTTACTTGCTGTCTATCTGGTGTTTGTTCCAACAGTAGGAGGATGAAAGGCATGTCGGCTTTGATTAGAGCCGCCGAGCTGGCACTGTTTGAGTGAACGTGTGTGTACTCATGCCTGTGCTTTGGTCATTTTCCAGTAGGGAAATCGGAGCTGCCCTAAGGCAGCAGTGGCCATGTTCCCATCCTTCTCAGTTCCTCCTTTCATCTATCTCTATATCTTTCTCTTCCTCGTCTTCCTCTCAGCAGTGTGACTGCTTCCTCGCCTGATATCTCCACTTTTACTCCTCGCTCAAATGCTCGGTAAACAGCTGCCGCGCATATCTCTGCACTCGTGAGCGAAAGCACCTTTTTCGGCTTGTGTATATATTAAGATACAGGCAGCTCATCAAGAATGCTTTGTCAGCTTTGATAATAACTCGGGGCCCCAAGGCGCCGAGGCCCCTGATATTTTGTCACACTCCTCCAGCTCTGCAAACACGAGCCAATATTGCCGGTAAAGCAGCTCTGCCTTCAGTGATAATGAGCTCTCCGTCCTCTAAGATAGTGCAGAGTGGACCGGTGCCAGATTCCCTTGAGGTGTTTGAGCACTGGACGACTTCTGACACCAACAGGACAGCAGCTTAGGTCCAGAGCGCACTTTCTACTAACTAATAGACAACCCTTAATTCAGAGTTGATTAAATGAAAATGTAATGATGTCCAAGGGGAAACGCAGTAATCACAGCAGCAGAGAATGAGGTAGCAAAGAAGGGGGGGAGGCAAATCATAGTCGAGTAAGTTAGTTTCAAAGTTTTACAGTGTGTAAAGCATAAAAGCATATAGTGATTAAAAATGCTGCAGGCCTACTATATGAAGTGCTGAAGATCATAAAAGCAATTTATTATGCTAAACAGTGGTGATTAGCCAGAAAATAAACTAATAAAGAAACAGCACTGCACTCACACTATCCATTAGTTTGCATCCATTAGTTTTAAATGTCCCCCACCTCACCCCCCCTTCAAGAAGACAGAGTTCCTTCTGATCGTAAATCTACCTCTTAAAAGTCTAATGTGACACCGAGATGCATATTTAGCTAACAGTTTAGCGCAGTAATTAGCGTTTGGGAGCGCTATGCCTCTGCCAAGTTCCATCCGCCCAACATCTGTTCCTCACCTGCCTCCGGGGGCCAGTGCTCTTCCACCTCGTCCCCTCTCCCCCCATCCCGCTCCGCCGCCCATCTTTGCCTCGCTGTAGGTGGCAAAACACTTATCAGGTCTGGAGTGAAGTGACAGGTCTGTTGGCAGCTGGAACCACTCACAGTGTTCTTTTGAGACTTAAGAGAGGGAGACCCCCCCCCCATCCACCCGCCCACACACACACACCTCCTTCGGTCACCTTGACCCTTCTCCCTGCCTCTCCCCTTCAGCTACAATTAAATCACGAAGGAGCACGTCGGGCCACCCAGCCTCGACGGCGGGCGTGCGCACCATCAGCATATCTTCAGCATATTCGCCCTGATGGGAAGCTTCTGCACTTGCCTGTGTGTATTGGATGTATTTCTCGCTCCGGCGGTGATGGATTTTCCATTTTCCTGTTTTGTGTGGTGGTGGCGCACTGTCGAGAGAAGCCTCACGTCAAGACCGTTGCATCTTCTGTCACTCGCCGTCTCACACCGTTTGCTCGGTGCCATTTTATGATTTTGCTCTTGCCGGCAAGCCGTGCTTCTCCATGACATGGGGGCCCATTTAAGTCTGATAAGTCATTGTTCAGGCAATACAGAAAGGGGGGTGGGGGTGTTCTTTACAGTAACCAAACAATGTTGACACCTCCCAACCCTTTCAATTCTCTTACTTTCTGCCCTCCTTTTTCTCTCCGTCTGCTCTTTCTTCATCTTTCTTCGCCTATAGCTTGTCTGCGGGCAAATTGTCATCTCAGAGTCCCTGCCCCTAACGGGAAGGGAGGGGGTGGGAGAGTTGGGTGTGGGCGGGGTGAGGTGGCGGGGATTATGACAGAAGCAGGATGAAGGGGGGCAGAAAATAAAGTTGCTCTTATCAGAATTTGCCAGGAGCAATGTGCACACAAAGCTGCTTGGGAATCCAATTTAGTCCTCGCTGTTAGTTTAAGTGATATCAGCGCAATTAGCCGTCACAGGTCAGAGTGTGAGACCAGCACGTTAAGTGATTTCCTGAAATCCCACCAGTGGAAGCACAAGAGGATGTCAGTTCTCGAAGTTAAGAAGAAAAAAAAGCGTTCCGACCCCACAAATGGACCGCTTCTTTATACGCTCCTGCTAATAAATGTCAGCCGTCTCTCGCCTCTTTTGTTTTGCTCACGTCAGCTGCTCACTCTGGATTTAAATGGATTTTCTTGCTCTATATCTCGCTACAAGGGTGACTTTGAGCTGTTTTAGTTTTGCTTGAGCCCCTGTGTAACTCAATTGCGCTTAATGTTGCTTTTGGGTGCACTACTAAGAATGGCTCCATGTTGGGTGGGGAAACGGTGGGAATGTCCTTGGTGTTTCTCACAAGAGCAATTAGACACTAAGTACGAAGGGACATTGGCGGGATTGCGAGTTTGATCTATTTATAAATGCTCCAGTGTGCCTTTCTGATGCTTTTTGCTTTGCCTGTATGTTTCATTGTGCACCTGTGAAGGAGCAATAGGAATAACCCAAGGTGACCAAGAAGTATACGTTAGGGTTTGTTTTGTCCGGCTTTTATTCAGCCACAATACAGTTTAGATCAAATAAAGTTTAAATTAAAGGATTTCTTTTAAGCGAGGTGTTAATGGAATTAACTAACGTTCTCACATCATGTGAGCAACACTTACAATATTAAGAAAACGTAACAAAGCTACATCAGGAATATTGCTGTACAACACAAAGGAACCTGTGAAACGCAGTCCTAAAGAACTTTCTGTCTTCTGTTTAAGGACAGGTATGTTACTTAACCCTCTGAGGTCATCGAGATACCACAAACTTCTTGTTGTTTCACAGCCTGTAGGTCTTGGGTTTGAATCTGCTATCTGACTGGAGCTTTTTTCTGTGGAGGTGGATGTTCAGTCTCAGTTGTATGGTTCTTTTTGTTTAAGGGGGACAGCCAATCACAAGTAAGTTGGCTTAAAGAGAAAGAAGCCTGGGCTTGTTTCAGACTGTGACTGAATAGAGAGCGGAACAAGCAATATAAAATAAATCTGTATTTTTATTAACTATAAATCATATATAAACTCTACTAGAGATCAAGAATCCAAATATAGAGTTGAAAATAACATAACGGGTTTAAACTTTGCTAAATTTCTAAATGAAGACAGTGAGGTTCTAATGTGGAGTCTTACAAATGAGCCTGTGATTGTTAGTGTAGAGCATTTTAACTTTATTCATGGACTTTCTCAGGCAGGAGTGGGCTAGACCTTTTTTTTTATATAATTCCCAAATAAAAATCATGAGGTTTTAGTAATCTGCTTGCTTTACATTTTTATTATTCTTTCCAGTATTTCACCACGTATGTATTCTCTGCACTGGTATCTTTCTCAAGGATGATGCTGAGAGCATGTGTGAAACAGTTCCAACTGTTATTTCTCCTCCACTGCAGATAGGGACAAAGAGCAGCACAGAGCAGATATGAATATCGCAACAATATCTGTTACAGCGGCTGCTGGTGGAAATAAATAGCTCAGCAATATTCCCAGAAAGCATGTGTTTCTTCTATGCAATACAATTAAGAGTTGGACCCACAGGAACATCCATAAATGTTAAATTAAGCCAGCATTTCTTTCCTACAATGTTAGAGTAATCTGATTGTGAAAATGAGTTAGTTGGCAGGTAGGTTGTTCCAAGCATCTTGGAGAACCTGCCACACACTGGCTCCATAATGTTAATATCAAGGCTCTGTGGGGGTCGGCCATCTGTAGCGGGGCTCCTTCTGAAGTTTAGGGTCATGTCACGTTGCAGACTGAATCTGGGACCAGTCAGGTGCTCTCTGATGGGTTTGCATGATGGATAAGAACATTTCAGGCATCTAGTAAAGGCAAACTTTTTTCTTGAGCTTCCTCTCCCCAAAAAAGCTTTTTGTTTGCTTAGCTGGTTTCTGTGTGACAGACATTGATTAAATCTGACCTCATCTTTCTTTTTCCTTCTCTCTTCTCTTACCACCCTGCTCTCTAGGGGAGATCTGTGCATTCAACATACACGGGCTGGACGCACCGTTCGAGGCAGTGGTGCTGAACGGTACGTCTGGTGAGGGCCAGCTGAGGGCACGGGGCCTGGTGGACTGCGAGTTACAGAAGGAATACACCTTCATCATTCAAGCTCATGACTGCGGGTCGGGCCCTGGGGGCATCGAGGGCAAGAAGTCCCACAAGTGAGTAAAACAGACAATGGGGTTTGAATAAAGCAGGCTTTGCGAAGGTGGACAGAATGCACTGACACAAAAATACCACCAACTGCAAGGCCTAGACAATTAAATAAACAAAACCCGAGTTAATAATGCATGTCAAGTGCTTGGGCTACATTGTGTAAGGCTACAAAGTAGAAAAGAATGAATTATTAATTTAGACAATGTCTAAACTCACATTATCAGCTATCCTAGAGGACGGTGGAGCTTTGGAAAGACTAACGAAGACAACTAGTCGGCTTTATGTAACTGTGAATATATATATACAGTGGAACCCTGGCTTACGAAGACCCCATTTAACAAAAAATTCAAGCTATGAAGGCACTTAACGGCAATATTTCTGCCCATGGTACGGCAAAATGCCCACGTAACGAAATAGATAAAATAGAAAATTAAAAAATAAATAAATAAAATTCCATAATGTTATGTACATGTACACGCACGTATGTATACATGCATACGTATGCTTTCTTCAACCTCCGCCACCTCCTCCTCCACCAAGAACTTCGTCTTCAGCCAGCAT